GGGCACTGTCACGACGACAGAGTCCAAGTAAAAAAAGACAAAAGATCGCTTTACCAACTACTCTGCCGAACTACGTACTACCAAGCAACGAACTTTGACGGCAATAGCCAATGCTTAGCTTCGCATCCTCTATCTTCGTAGTGGAAGCTTCTATCATTTTCTTTTCCATCCGGCCAAAGACATGGTCTTCAACGGCGTCGTTCGGCAGAGTGGACGGCAATGGCTCATGTTTTGGTCATCTGATTCTTTCCCGTTCGGTGAAACAGTGTCAGTTTTGGCATGTCGGTAAGCTTGTTAGGTTATACTCGCTAGTTCTGTCTTGGCAGGTCGGGGATGGTTGTTCAGCCCTCCTTATCCATTTTTTTCCGGGACGGTGACGTGATCCTCAATCCACCATTGCCGGCTTCTTCTGGCCCTTACTGACGATTTCTCGACCGTTGCATTTTTTTTTAAATCGAGGAGGACCCCCGGTCTCTGCATCTGGACGATGCATACAGTCCTTTTATTAATTATTCACACAAGACCTTACAAAGTCATACAAGATTAAAGCCACCGTCTAGGCAACATCTGTCGCACTTCTATCCAGTTGATGAAGGGATGCTGATAGTCTGGGCCTAATACCAAACAGACCTCGCAGCCAAACCTAACATCTAAGATCTGAGGTCTCAACCAGGACGCCTGCTGGGTATGGGGCACCCACCGGTCCGGCGCACTCCTCAACTAGGACACATGCCGTGTATGAGGCCGCCGCAGTCACCTGCCATCAATCCATCTTCAGTGCCGTACTGCTGCATCTACCTTGCCTGGTCTAGCTGTCGTCGATGTCACCACGACGCCAGACAACGCCATCATCCCGCGCTCGTTCATCATCACACACCCACCGGCGAGACCCCGCTGCTCCATGTCACCGAGACCCGCCGTTGTCGACGCGAGAGAAGGCACGCCACACCACCTCACGCCTCTTCCATCCAGCGCCGCTCCACAAATGATGCCCTCAAGAGGGAACACGACACCGCAGTGCCGCCATCGTCCGACCCGGTGATCTTAGGATTTCTTCCGGAGCGGCACGAGCATGTTGACGATAGTTGCTTGACGATGTCTTCATCAAGGTAACGACATAGACGCCGCCGTCGCCTGCCATGACCGGAGTCGACTCGGTTTTCACCGGCGACTATGTCTTCCCAACTCGCCGCCGGTGCTAATAATGGGATCCAAGATCCGTCACTACGAGCCTAGCCAACCGCCTTCGGTGGAAAAGGTAGCCACCACCACCATGACCGGACCAAGAGACCCGGACGTCCTCGTGCCGTGAAGATAACACAGGGGGATCTCCTCTTGCCGTTGTCGAGACGAGGCGCGGCTGCAGTGGATCTCGATCTAAACCCCTCGGGCCCTGATCAGATCTCATCGCAGCCAAAATCTCATCCGCCAACGGCTGCCGAAGATCTCCTGGCCACCGCCACCCGATGTGCACTATCGTTGGAGGAGGAGGGAGATGGACGCCGCTGCCCCCACGCGTTACCGCCGGCTGAGGACTGCGTCGCCGCCGCCGCCTCACCACAGGGGTTTCGCCCCGCGGTGTCCTCAGCGACGGCGTCGGTAGTGGGAGGCGATGGAGGGGGAGGGCTGAGGGCGGTGTGGACAGGGACTCCCCGGGGGCGGCGCGGCGCCGCCGCCTTGGGGGAGAGAGCACATTGTATTCTCGACTGTTGCATGAATAACATTATCCTAACTCCAAAGATGTTTCAGAAATTTAGAGGCGACATCAAATTTTGCTCACGGTGCGCCGACGGCGAGTGCAGGAGGAAAACAACGTCGATATATCAAAAGACGGTTATGTTATTTTTTGCTTCAAGAATAATTTTGTAATTATTGGATAATTTAAATACATGTCCTTGAAATTCGATCAAAAAAGAAGTTCCATGTTGAAGTGGATCTCGATCAAAATACTGTGTTAAGCAAAAAGATGCTGATGCATGCATGTGAATAATTATGTTTTTTTGCTTAACACAGTACAGACACAAGCGTTCATGTATAAACGCATACACTCACTCATATGAGCATCTCTGAAAGACAAAGCCGACATATCATCTTGAGATTTTACGAAGTTATCGTAGACGCCTCGTAATTGACGGGAACATTTTCTTTCACTAAACGCGTATCGCCAAAAATCCTAAAATAAATACGAGCATCAGGACTTAAACCTGGTGACATGCATGAGCATCGATATTCATATCACAGATGACATCAACGCACATGCCAAATCTTCATTGCTATCTCTTCTACATTATTTATATATTAAGAGAAAACATAATGTTCTTTTTTAACAGTTCTGCTAAAGCACATCTAGATATGTTATAAGTACTGCACATCTAAGTCATATGTCATTGATCTTACATTGAGATTTGTGTGAATATTTTCTTTCTTTTTTCCTTTTTCTTTTTATGCTTGATTCATTCATTTAGATGTGCAATAACTAGAGCACATCTAGATGTGCCCTAAACACACCCATTTTTTATTCTTCAATGTTCACTTTTCACCTTCGTCCAACTCCACTAGGTAGTTTTTTTACGGATTCCAACCCTTCCTCCCTCCGTCCCTTAAAAAAAGAGGATAGACCACCGGCTTCTGCATCTGGACGATGCATACGGTTATTTTATTAATTATTCACAGAGACCATACAAAATAATACATCAGTCGGCCTAAAGCCACCATCTAGGCAACATCTGTTGCTACTCCTAACCCATTGATGAGGTGTGTCGAATATCCGGACCTAATACCAAACGGACATTGCACCAAACTCTAACATCTAAAGCCGGATGCCCCAGCCCAGCCACATACCGGGACTGGGTCCCATACCGGACCGACGCACTCTCAAAGGTTGCCGCCACCATCTTCCATCGGTCCATCTCCAGAGCAGCAACTGACTCATCGACCTTGCCTGGCCTGCCATCGACGCCACCATGACGCCAGACAACTCCACCATGCTGCACGTATCCGTCCAGACGCGGCCGTCGCTGGACCTCCGCGGCGCCATGCCACTGGGATCCGTCGTCGGCCTTGCGGTGAATGAGACACCGCTCTTCTGCTTGTCCCGTCCAGCCAGCACATGCTCCAAAATGATGCCCTTAGGAGGGACAACGGCGTCAAAGGTACCATCGTCGTCTGATCCGATAGATCCAGATCTAGAGGTTCCCCCGGAACATCATGAGTGTGGTGCCACGACCTGCAACAACGATGCCTCGAGAAGGGAATGACGTCATAGACGCCGCCACTGTCTGCCATAACCGAAGTCGGCGCGATTTTCACCGGAAGTCGTGTCCCCCAACCTCATAGCAGGCTGGAACAGAACGGAGCCTCGTTGTGGAGACGAGGACCGTCGTCGGCACGCCGGCAGGGAGCCTCCAGTCGCCCCTCACCGGTCCTCCTCGCGCCACCGCCCGGTCAGGGCCGTACTGAGACGGATCTAGACAGGACGCCAGATCCGCAACCATCAGAGCCACCCATGCACACGCAGCCGCCACACCGCCAACCATGAAGGCTCCCATCGCCGCCCCATAGCAGGGGCTCCGCCCTGACTGGCGCCCCCGGTTTCCCCGCATGAGACACCGCCTCCGCCTCACAGGGTCCGCCGCGGCGACCACCCGCCCTGGATCTATGATGCAGGGCCCGCCGCCACCGCGGCCCTTGCCGGCGACAGTGGCGGCTGGGGTTGGAGCAGCGGGGAGGGACTGGCGGCTATGGATCTGGAGCCCCTGGCGCCGCCCGAGGGGAGGCGACGCGAGAGGGGGAGGGGGTCGTGGGGAGGACTGAAAGTAGATGCCATAACCGGAACTAGATTATGTTGTGACCGTCCTCAAGCAAAGCTGTCGCTCTTGAAAGAAAGACTCTTCAATTCTAGACAATCTTAAAAATGAGAAAGACTTTCACTTTCCGGCCTCTTCGCCAATTAAGGATGCATACATCCATTTTAGCATGAATATCAAGATAAACATGGTCTTCGGATTTTTTTTAAATGAGTATCAAGATATTTTTTGATGAGTGGTTTCACCGCACACCAAACTTGATCCTGTCAATTCTAGGAATTGAACTCGGGTCGTTAGGCTGTACAACCACATGCCCAACAACTGAGCCAAGGCTCTCTTTGCATTAAAAAATGGGAGAGATTTTCACTTCCCAGTCTCTGCACCAACTAAGGATGCATACATTCATTTTAGTATGAGTATCAAGATAAACATGGTCCTCGAAATTTAATATATTTTTCTATTTCTATTTTAATATATTTTTCTTCCCACCTTGGTTGTTCCTCACTGATTTTTGCTGAAAACCGACTGTGTCTTATTGCTTTACCAAATGAAATTATGTTCATTTTATATAAGTCAAGTAGTCAACTAGTGTTGATTCTTGTTAAGGAATTCTTTCTTTGGAAACCGATGTTTAAGAAATTCTGATTGAACTGACAACTTATGTATATAATCACATTATAATAAAAATGGCAGGTAAATCCTGGTATGACATACATAATATTTTATTAATACTTTATTTCGTAGTTGTTTTACCAAAAATGAAAACGCACGTCATGTTATCATGTACTCCCTCCGTCCGAAAATACTTGTCATTGAAATGGATGTATCTAGATGTATTTTAGTTCTAGATATATTTATTTTCATTTATTTTGATGACAAGTATTTTCGAATGAAGGGAGTATGAACAGATGTGAAAATCAACAAACTAGCCGAGATTGAAATCCTGGTCGACATAGCTAGCCGTGTCGAACATTTGCTCTCCGGACTCAGGGAGGGCGTCGAGCGGCCGAGTAGGACCACACGTCGGCGACCCGTTGCATAAAGTCCCGCGCAAAACCACGGCGGCAGCGAAGCCACGCGCGCATCGGCCCGTTCCAGTCACCACCTGACACGGCCCGGCCCGACGACCCGCGCCACCGAAAACCCACCAAATCCCCGGCCGCCGCCGCCCGCCCGCACCCCCCGCCGGCCTTGATGCGCCTCTGCTCCAAGCTCGCCGCGCTGCTCCGGAGGTCCCGCCCGTTCGCCGCCGCCACCGCCGCCGCGTCCGTCTCCGCGACCGCGACCGCCACCGCCGCCGCGGCCGCCAACGGGATGGAGGAGGCGGCCGCGGGCCCGCTGCGCACGCGCGTGTGCATCATCGGGAGCGGCCCCGCCGCGCACACGGCGGCCGTCTACGCGGCGCGCGCCGAGCTCAAGCCCGTGCTCTTCGAGGGCTGGCTCGCCAACGACATCGCGGCGGGCGGGCAGCTCACCACCACCACCGACGTCGAGAACTTCCCCGGCTTCCCCGACGGCATCCTCGGCATCGACCTCATGGACCGCTGCCGCGCGCAGTCCGTGCGCTTCGGGACCAAGATCTTCTCCGAGACCGTCACCTCCGTCGACTTCTCCTCCCGCCCCTTCCGCGTCTCCTCCGACGACACCGTCGTCCACGCCGACTCCGTTGTCGTCGCCACCGGCGCCGTCGCCCGCCGCCTCCATTTCGCCGGCTCCGACGCGTTCTGGAACCGCGGGATCTCCGCCTGCGCCGTCTGCGACGGTGCCGCGCCCATCTTCCGGAACAAGCCCATCGCCGTCGTCGGTGGCGGGGACTCTGCCATGGAGGAGGCCAACTTCCTCACCAAGTACGGCTCGCGCGTCTACATCATCCACCGCCGCGACGCCTTCCGCGCCTCCAAGATCATGCAGGTACGGGCTCTCTCCAACCCCAAAATCCAGGTCGTGTGGGACTCCGAGGTCGTTGAGGCCTACGGCGGCTCGGACGGCGGCCCCTTGGGCGGTGTCAAGGTCAAAAACCTGGTGACCGGCGAGGTATCCGACTTCCAGGTGGCCGGGCTTTTCTTTGCCATTGGGCACGAGCCAGCGACCAAGTTTCTCGCCGGACAGCTCGAGCTCGACTCCGAGGGGTACGTGGCCACCAAGCCGGGCTCCACGCACACCAGTGTGAAGGGGGTCTTCGCTGCCGGGGACGTTCAGGACAAGAAGTACCGCCAGGCCATTACTGCCGCAGGATCAGGTATATAAAATGCTTTCAGACTTTTGTTTAAGTTGCCTTTGATGACGCTGCATTGTAGTTACGACTTGAAATCACTGTCAATCATGGGTATGATGTTTTGATAAATTTACAATTAAATGCGTTCCTGCATTGTAGTTTCCCATTTATAGAACATGCAGATGGTTGACACATCACACATCTAGTTTAAATATAGAAATTTCTAGCGGCTTGTCACTATGTTAGATCAGATATTCTATCTACCATCTCGTTTTCAAGCATCTGTGCTCCATTGAATTTTAAGTCGAACAGTAGGTATAAAACGTGATAATGTAGCGCCTCAGTGCGGCTTTTTTGCACCAAGCCTTAATGGAGATTCATATGCAAGGAATAACCAAATAGGTATCCCTTTCTGGAGATAGTGATTTGTGCTGTTCAAGTATAGTCTGGTCTGGGGTCAGGATCCTGCATTATTGTTCTTGGTTGCCATTGAATGATTCACTAGCCGTACCTCACTTATCATGATCTAAGGGAGGGGGATGAGGCCAGAGGATATGGGAAGAGGAGAGTGATGTAGCCTAGCCACTCAGACCACTGACTTTATGTCATTTTTGTTCCTGCCATTGTTGTCCCTTGTGGTGGTCATCTGCTCATTGTTGCCCATCACTACAGTTGGTAACTGCTTGACAAGCGAGAGAGGTATACCGGGAGGAGGAGGCTTCCTGGGAAGGCAGCACTAGCAGAGGAAGGAGCAAGTTGAGTATGGTAGGAAGGGGTTGAGTGTGGTGATGGAGAAGGGACAGCCAGGCCCAATGAACCTCCGATTCATCCTCC